TTATCGCTCAACCGTGTTGCGAGGGAGACAGGGAAAGAGATAGAGAGAGAGAGAGAGAGAGAGCCCTTTGATCGTGCTGCGGCAGGGAAAGTCTCGCGTGATACTAATTTCCATTTGGGCCCAGCCCGGGCTCGGTTCGCTAATGCAAGCGACGCCGCCATCCATCCATCCATCGCTTTACCACGTCGTCCAGAGAGACAATTTTCCAGCGTTAAAGGTCGGAAAGTTATGATGCCGAGGCGCCTCGCCGAAACGCGACAGCGTTTCTCGCGTCTTGCGCGAGATATAGCGCCGGCGGAGGCTCCGTAACGTTACGGCTGGCACGTCACGGCCAACTCGCGGACATTAATAATACCGGATCCGAATTGTCGCCCCGGCTACGTGTTATCCTTGTCACGGAGAAAACGGAGACAGAGTTGGCGGATTCAAGAATCCGTGCCATTCGGGGACCCTCCGCTGCGCGCACGGCGAAGCACCAACATTCCGCGCGCAAACGTACCGTGAGCGAAAATACCGTGTCACTGCACAGCAAATGCATACAGAGCGCGAGCTTTTAATATTTATAGGTAGTTTCTCCGAGGAGGCAATTTCGACGTACGATCTAGCAGAAACCAAGACGGTGAATGAAATGGGAATAACGCCCTCGTAACGAGAGAGAGATATAAAAATTGGGGGACGTATGGCAAACGGACGAGAGGCGAAAGTTATTTTGGACAAGCGACGCCGAGCACTCGCGTGAGACATATCGCCTGGTGTATTTTTGGCAAGGGGACACTACAATGGTTTCCAATCCGTTTGATTCTCAAGAACGACACCGTCCACACGTCATACGCTCGTGGGTTGCCGCTTGTTTATCCTCAGCCCGGCTGCCAGCCGGAAAATAGTCGATATGTCATTGACTGAGCTCTGCGACTCCGAACTCTTGCAATTTTTACTAGCGCTCGGCGCAACCGATGCGGGGCCTACCCCTAGCTCCTGCGGCTTTAACTCCCGAAAAGTTCCGCTCGTACTTTACGAGAGAGATAAGAATTTAAGATCTGAGAGAGCGGGGCCGCCAAGATTAGAATTTAAGCATTGAAGGATCTTAAAATCTCGAGCGGCGGTTTTCAAGCGAGTTTCAACTTTGATATTAGAACGTAGTGTCGTATAAAAGCGCCAAGTGTCCAACAGTAATGGAAGCTAAGAAATCAAATTTCAAAAATCCCAAGCCACTGGAGGCAGACTCGGCGACGGTGAATGAAAACGAAACATCCTCGTAATGAAGAAGCAAAAACGGGTTAATAAATGAACCCCTCTCGGCAAACTGTACCACACGATTACTGCTCACAGTCAAAGCGGGCCCGGTTATAAGTGAGTCCCGCGCACCCGGGAGTTTCGCGCGCCGGCATTTTTCGCCAGTTTCGGAAACCGTGACGTTCGCCAGAACGCATCCGCTTGGCGAGAGGCGAAACGAGACGGCGTTTATTTGTTGCGTAACGCGCGCGTGAGCGGCAGAAAGAGGAACAAAGCGCGCGTTCCCGCATGAAACCGCGCTGTCGCTTTTGTGCGGACGAAACAGATAGCAAAAGTTCGTCGCGCCGGGAATGTTTCGAAAAATCGCGAGAGCACGAGAGGAATTTCCCGGAGGGGGGGGAGGGGAGCAGGACAGAGGATTTCAATAACTGCGAGATGTCGCGAGAGCACGACCTTGTTATACCTAATCCCGTAGAGCTGCGTGGAAACTCGGGCTAATCCCATATAATGTTCTTTCTCCGCAGGTTTCGAGTAGACTAAAGACTTTCGAGAGATAACTGCTAGAACCCACGGGTTCCCGTGAGGCGAGAAATTAACGGGTTAGGGGTATACGAAACGGCGTTCGCGAGTGTATTCTGCGTTTACAAGCGTACGGCACCTCTTTCCGGGGGGGGGGGGGGGAAAGAAAGAAAGAAAGAAAGAAAACTTGGGACATACTTGCTCGATCTACGCCCGCTATTGGCGCGAATTCAATGGCTCGAAGAGCTAAAAGAGTCGCATCTGCAAATAGAGAAAGAACATAGGTAAAAAACTGGCTCGACGCCATTCCTACCCGGAGCCACGACGGGCGAGAAATGATGCAGACGGCGGAGAAGGGACACGTGTGTTACATAACGACGTACAAGGGCTATTGAACGTGTGACCATGCGCTGCCTAAGGGTGGTATCGCATCGCCTATTATAATTACTATTTATCGCATTATTGTTATTCATCGTGACAAGCGATCTATCCTTGTACTTTAAGGCGAAAGGCACCACAAGTGAGCTCCGTAGGAAGCCTGTTCTTTTCTTTTCTTTCTCGTAAACAGCCTATGGGCCTGCGGGACTAGTTTCATCATGACTATTTTTGAGCCGCGACGACTCACACAGAAATCAGTCTTCGACGTGATTCACAACCTACGTCATATAAATATAATATACGTATAAATATATAAATATATATATCTATATTTTACGTGCACGCCTCGACGAATGTTTTGCATCACTTTACTGTTACAGATTAATCGCGCTCGAGATGAAACAAAATTGTCCCGTGAATTACCATTATTTTCGTGCACGCCGGCCGACGTAAAATAATTTCGTGTATTTTACGTTCCGGTAGATATACTCGCGCGTGTCGCACGTGTGTACGACTCGACGAAGATCCCAGAATGATCGAGACGGTGCAAAAGCATTCGCGACGCGTGCGTATAAGAGATACTTAATATCGTTTAAATCATATACTTTTCCTGCGCGCCTACAGACGAATAGTCGAAGATGCTGGAGTCCGAAGAACCTAGGAATCCGAAAACCCTAGCGCCCAAGGGGACGCAGGGATCAAGGGGGAGCCGCGAGTCCGCGGATCCTGACGTGACACGGAAGTGTGCACTGAACGGCAGGACGATTACGGGACAATCCGTAATCTTGGAGGAACGTCACTCGTATTCCAGTCCGGACGATCAACGGGAGGTAGAATAGGAATCAAGTTTTGTACTCGACGTTACTTTCGTTGAGATCTCCAGCTACATGGATTCTACGAACACTCCGCTATAACTAAGGGAATCTGCTTGTCTCGGGCAAGAGAAAGAGACCCCCGCGCGTCTTACCTCAATAGAGTTAAATACTTAGGAGCTATATACGCACAAGAGAATAAATAGATTTAATTTTAGTTTAAATAGTACTCCAAGTTAAAAAAAAGGAGAGACGCACGCGCACACGATGGTAATCGTCACGTGTAGCTATGCGACGAGGTGGATCCTTCGTGCGACATATCGACCGTGGCGATTAATACTAATTAACGTGACACGGGCACAAGTTACACGGCTTCAAAGCAGCTCCCTGCGAACGCATGCACGCAAATCTCTTACGCTTCGTATACGATAGAAAAATAAATTATGTGTGTAGAGTATACGAGGATTTATGAATCGAAGGATCCACGCATCCGAGGTGTCGGAAAGATCCCAGGATGGGTGGAACCTGTCGAGGGAGAGTCGTTACACGGTCCTGCGACTTGCTGTGCCTTTGCAGCGAGGCGGACCGTCGTGCCCGTACTCTAGTACCTTGGATTCTCGTATGCCAATAAGGCCAGTAAGTTTTCCTGACGCGGGCTTGGTCGATTCGAAGATCCTCGCACAATCCGCGGTTAGCGTACTGTTGCACGTGAACGCGCTGTGTGTTTATGCGACGCAAGAATTACTAAGTCAAATAACTCTCTTTTGCTAAGAAATGATGTTTGTGCTCCATGCGCATAAACGGCGATATCAAGGAGCCCTCTCGTATGCCGTGTTTCAACTTAATGTGCCTTTTCAGATTGTCAGACCTGGTCAACGATATCATACATATTTGACATACGTGCTTGTCGGGGTTGTGCGATTTCATGTGCTTTTTTATGTTGGCTACGCTCTTGCCGCACAGCTTACAGCACTCCATACCGATCTGCGAGTGCTCTAACTTAGCCTGACTGTCTTTACTTATATCCTTTTCTTTTTTGCAAGTCCTTGTCGTTCCTGGAATACAAGGTCCCGTTTCGATGAATTCGTCATAAATCATTAACGATGCCAACTGTGTCTACTAATATCACCCCAAAATGCGTAAGGATGGTCGATTCCACGTTATCACACTCAATCTCTTTCATTTCTTTGCGCAATGTCTGATAGGTACTGACTCCCGAACTCTAATTAATTTTTAACAGACATGTCCCGCGCACGTATATTTTCACCAAACGTACGTACAAATATGGAAATGCGAAGCTATGAAATAAAAGCTCTAAAAAATGACCGTTGAGTCCTCTTTAATTATCGAAATTACCCACTGCCATTATAATATAAATGTAATAGCTTTCCCTTGCAAAATATTCAAAGTGCAAATATTTTATCACGAATTTCACCTGTTCATTGTGAAATGCGAAAATTACACGAATAACATTTAAACATGCATTTTTTTTCCAGGGAACATTTTTGGAGCCAATATTATTTTGCAATGTAGATGTTTAAGTAATACAATTCTAATTGATCGTTTCAAAAAAAATATCGAAAATTTATGTTATGCGAGACTGTAATATTATTCTAACGCACGGAGTTGAAATTTATTTTATCGACTGTCGAAAAATCCCTTTCACCGGTTCGCGGTATGTTGCACGTTGTTTTTTTTTAAATATTTTAATTTCGCTATTATTTTAATATAAGAAATGACCATTGCGAAAAAAAATATTTCGGATGATAACGTTAAATGGAATGTCCTTTTATGCTCCCCACAGGTCACACTCTACGTCAAATAGTTGCAGAGAAGAGGAGATTCTCTCAATTACGTTCAAAATCAACGAAGATATAACGAACATCACACTCGTATTTGTACAGGGTAATGCACTTAATGAAATTGCTTGATTTCCTTTCTTGTTTTTATAAGCGCTGGAAATATATGTGTATATAAATATTTTACTTATACGGAGAAAGAATAATGCAGACGTAAAAACGAAAGGGAAGTAAGTGAGCCCGAGAATGTATAAAAGGATTTTTTTTTTTTAGAGAAAGAATCGAAACTTTGTCGCGTTTATTGAAACAAGACGGCGAATCGATCAATTCCATCAAGGACTTCGCCCCGTGCTCTTTCTCATCTATAATTACCTACTCGTAGCAAATGTCAATACCATGTAAAAAGCTCAATTCTACTGTCATCTCATCGCGTTCCAAGAGACTAAAGATACTGTCACAATACAGTACAGGAGAGAAAGAAAGGAGAGAAAGAGACGTCAAACTTAACATACCGAAAAGAAAAACCGCAACGGAAAATAAACACATTCAAGTGCGAGAACCTCGGCGAGGAGATTCGCCGATTCGTCCCCACGGTAAACACTCGGTCTGCGGAGATCGCGATACGGACTATCGACTTTGTCCCCCAAGCTCTTAAACGCCGCCCATACATAAATTGCTCCGTCGGAGATCAAACGCGCGCATCTCGCGGCCACTGGCAACTATTGCATAATGCAGCTCGTGCAACATTTCAGCTAACTAGATATAATATGAATATGCAATCAAGAAGTACGTAATCTGGTAACTATCAACGACGACGACGACGACGACGACGACGACGACGACGACGATGCCGATGACGACGACGACGAGATCGCTACGAGGTCGAGGATGCGAGAGATAAACGAAGAATAGCATTAGCAACCGAGTCTATTTAACGAGCGGTCTAATCGCGTACGCTTCTTCGGAAATAATCGCCAGGAGGAAAAATATGATACCTAGGGATACGAGTTTTCCTGCTGCTGTGCCGCTGCTGTCGCTGCTGGCGACTATTATTAATGCATTGACGATGCACAGTGGATAAGAATCGTGTGACTATAAATAAGCGTGACGTATCGATGTGGACGAACGATAGAAGATACTTCGCGAAAAGTGAAACTTAATAAATTCATCCATAGGCTTTTTTTTATAGATGCGAAACTCGGGTCCTCGGATCCTCCAATCCCCGAATTTCCGCCCGGGGATCCCCGTGTCGAAGAGTCCGCGAGATTGAACATCTAATTGCGACGGTCTTTAATCCCTAAAGGGCAGATTTTCGGGATCGTCGGATCCTCGGCTCCTCCGCTCTTGTGTAATCGCGTTTAACCTTCGTCTCCATCTCGTGGTATCAAGTAACGTAGCATATAGGAAACGTCTTACGTAACGGATTTTTTTTTCCCCCGCGGCCGGCAATTTTATTAACGCAAAACGACGGATTGCGCAACGAGACGCGCAACGATTGCACATTTTGTTGCTAATATTCTCGTTCACTCGTGTAGGTCGAAACGAACAGCGCAAGAGAGACGTGAGAATATAAGATCAAGATCGCCAGGCACGGTGACGCAAGATACGGCAAAGGGGTATATAAGAGAAATAGGAAATAAAAACAGCACATATAAAAACATGCACAGAGAGTTCCCGCCATGGAAGAGCCGCGTATATGCGCACGCCTGCGTCCGCACGTGCACGCGGTGTGTACGCATATACGCCGCGTGTGTGTATATACATGTATATATAAAATGTCTTATATATAATATATATATATAACATAAGTATATACATGTCTCGCGCACACGACACACATCCACACGCATTCACGCAAATGGAGCTCGTTAATGTGGCATACCACGCATACGCACGCACACGCGCCACGTACACGTGTATACAAGAGCAGCGAGATGAACTCAGCCAGTCGCACCCACACACCATCGCAATCTCGGACACGAATTTGAAAAACAGAAAAAAAACAGGAAAAAAAAATGATAGAAGTACAGTCCATTTGCTGATATACCATGTCCCAAACCAACGAGAGTTTTGTTACGTTTTATTCTCTCTCTGTATATGTATATATATATATATATATATATAGATATATGTATTAACACACGTAATTAAAACTACCACAATGACGTAGCAAATGCACGATACCATCACCACAACACCAAGGATTCATGTAATATACATATGTGGTTAGATATAATATATACAGACATACGCACGCGGGGATTGGTCCCGGTGTGTATGCATATACATATATATATATGTATTTATATATACGTACCGTACACATATACATATACATACTATATGTGATATATATATAATATATGTGAAAAGGAGGTCTTTCATTTTCTAAAGTTACACTCACTACACTTGCCAGATTTGGAAATAGAGGGATGCTCGCTTCGGACGACACCTACGTATGACTCGGCTCGTGTCAAATCCTTGCAAAAACGTGCATGCAGATCTCCCTCGATTTCTTAGATGCAACATATTTCCCACAGGCCGGCTGACAAAGGGACCCGTTTCTCTCCCAGCACGCGCGAAAACGCCGAAATGCCCGAGACGCGCGGTACGGACGAGCCCGGCGCGATATTTCGCGACAAATAAACGTCGGATAACGGCCGAATCTTTTATCGCGGTTTACAAGCTCGATATTTCAACCCGTCCGAGATAATACCGGGTACAATCTTCGTACACGCGTGACGTACAAGTTGATCGCAGAACGGAACGGCTTGGTGCAAAAAGGGAAATATGTTAAATCTAAATGAAATTTTGGTCGTAAAGGTGGATATGTGTGCAGGTCTTACCATCAAGTCCGTCGAGCATTTCCGGGGGATTATGGTGCTCGGATGATTCAATTCCTTGAACACCATCACTGAGCGCTCCTGCCGCGGCCCCTCCGTCTTCTATCAGCCCAATTGGATGACTCTGCACATGACATAATAATATTTATAAATAAGCAGTCGGCAATAATGTGGAAGCTGCTTCGTGCCTCGTGACGTATTGTAATTAAAACAGTATCGTACACAAAAGACAAAACCTTTGTATTCTTATTACGGCTGCAAATTGTTTCTCAAACTTATGCAATGACAGAAACTCTTGGATCATCTTTTGGAGAATTCCGGACGATTTGGTGACCATCGAAAATTTGCGACTTAAGATCTTTAAATGCTGTTACACTTCATCACATTCAACTCACCGTGGATAAGATTTAAATAATGTATGCAAAAAAAATATAAATAGCTTAAAGCTGGCAATGTTGTTCAAATTTATACGCGATATTTGTTTAATACTTGAATATTGAATATTTTGTGTAGTTTTAAGTAGTTCTTGTAAAAAAATTCTGACACGTTGCTACTTATTGTTAGATAAGAGATATTAGTTCTTAATAGTAATAGGTTAAATGCCCTAATCAATGTAATTTCAAAGAAAACATTTTGTAGAGTGATTCCATTTATTGCTTTTCAAGGATATAAGTATCCGTCACAGAACATGACTTCAAAAATATATACTTTGGCATATATATATATATATATCTCTCTCACATCAAAATACATGTACATACACTGTCATATATTACAGCGATTATTTAACAAGATATAAAGTATATGTTTAAAAAATGCAAGTAGTATTTTTTGATGAATTGCCGTTATCTCGGGAAGGAGCCGTCTTATTGTAAACACCTTGTAAAACCAAATACATTTTATAAAATATACATGGAATTATATACTTTATTCACTCTTGTCTATTAAGGTTGTTGCACGATTTTCAAAACCGTAAAAATTATATCGCTATCTTTACATGCTATTTAAATGTGATAATTGTTTGATTGTATATCATAAAAATATATATGTACATATTGCAAGAGAATATTGAAATATCTTTGTATAAAATATATTAGTCATTCTGCATATGCATTTATGTATTTTATCTTTTCAACAATAAAACAATGTTGATATGTAAATTGTTTGAATTGTATATGCAACAACAATGAAACATTAACGTTGATAAAGTTATCTGATAATAAGAACTGCCTTCCGTAAAATTATATTTAATTGTATTTTAAGTGAAAATTTATTTGCAGCGTTGTTAAATAAGATATTATCGGTGCGATAAAAATATTAAAGATACAATACAATTGAAAGATCCAAAATCGGAGGCTAAGACATACGAATAGGAAAGAAAAATCTATGGAGAATCTGGGAGCATCTGAAAGGTGTGGCAGTCAAATAAACAATAATAATGTTCTTGTACATATTCTGTTACAAGCTTGAATACGTGTTGTTTCGCGTCCAAATATTAAACCTTAAAGCGGTTTAGCAATAGGTAAGACTTGTTTAAAATCTTGACATATATCTTGCACACGGGTGTGTCGCTCTAATATTGTATGTACACAATGTCTTTGAAATATTAATTGAGCGCAAGACTGATCACGAATAATTAAACAGGCGGAATCTGATGACGGATGCCAAGGCTAGCATGTTTTCGTCGTGTAAGCGTAACTCTTTCTTGCCTCGCTTTCTTTAGTCAAGCACAGATTGTGTGCCTTGCACTTATCATGGTGGTTGACGATCTCGACCCTAAAATTGCCATTTCCCGCGGCGAACGAGGTGCGAATCTCCGGTATGGATTCGCTCCACTTTCTACAGTATTTGCAAAACATAAGATTCGATCGTTCGTCGTACTGCAGCCAGGAGTACGCGTCTAACCACGAGGGTTTAAATCTACCGACCTTCCTACCCTGCGAAGTAGAACGTAGCACGTTTGCGCACATTGTCGACTGAATTACGGACATTCCCGGTTCCTGATTCATTTGCAGCGACCTATGCATGTCGCTCTCCAACGTTTTAACGTTTGGATTATATTCGGACAGCGATTCGTAAGGTTGGGCCTGATCAATGCTATTGCTTCTATACGGATGGTGCGAGTTCATGAACACGGCACGACTTCGCGGATTATGCGAATTCCCGGCGAGTTCGGACGCAATTCCCGACATATCGACATAGAGAGAACCTCCAGCCATGATGGCACTTTCGCGAGAAACTTGCGCCACAGCCGAATCTGGACGATTTGAAGTCATGTTCTGTACATCCGTAGTTTCGTCACTCTTCCCATCTCTCTGAACCTCCCACTCCATACTAGTCTGTCAACAGAGAAGGAAAGGATATGTGCTTAATCAACACATCTCGACCGATCTCTCTTTCTTTCTTTCTTTCTTTTTTTAGCAAAACAAGCCAATTTTGTAATCTCCAATTGGAGAATCCCTTCCTTCCCATGTTCGTTTCGACTGAGTAGTTGTAGGACGACGGTAGACAATCGTCGTCAATTGTGGGAACAGTAACGAAACTCCGTTATAGGGACAATTATCTTCACGATATATCACGAGAACTTTGCACTTCATTCACAATTGTGCAAAGCGTTTCAAGCGAGAAGAAGTGTACGGCGTCTTCGGAGGGGGAAAAAAATATGCGAGCGTGAAGTAACAATAGCCTGGCACACGGAATCAGAGATACATGCTGAAACAATGTATACTAATATGCAAATATACACCAGAAAATGAGCGAGCAACTTATACGTGCATTATTTTAAGATTGAACCCAAACGCACTTTTTAAGCATTGAAGAATCGTGGAAAAACAATGCATTAACTGGTAACGCACAATTACATAATTGCTTGGGAATTACGTGCCCAGAGACAAATGTGATAAAACGGCGAAACGACTGGTCTCTCCGAGCATTTTGTGATTGACGTAGGTTACGCGACCTTAGATAGAGAAACGAGAGAAAATCAACACTGCCTTATCATTTTTATCTTTTACGCAATCGCGATAAATACATCAGGAAATAATTTCCTTGGACTGCACCGACAATGTTGCCAATCGATTGTGGGATATTTACAATCGGCTGCTCGGACCCACAAGGATACATTATGTGCACATACATTATTCCGCATATAATGACATGGATCATGCAAAGTTAGTTATTTGCGTTATCGAACAAGTGTGAGCGCGCAGGGAAAAAAAGCCAAGCAGATGCACAGGTGCGCAGGATCACGGTGGTGCAGGGGACAGAAGTAGGAAAGAAACGATTAATCGCCAACTAAAATACGAGATGCATAAACGTCGAGAAATACTTACGGAGAGGGAAATATTGTCATGGAAGTCGGGCAAGTGGTGATCCACCTCTTGTTTAATGGGGGCCTGCGGTTGTGAAGCAGGCGACATGGGTCGACCACCATCTTCCATCTCAACTCCCAGGGCATTATTTAACTTTGAAATCACAGGAGGACTCGATTTGTAACTACACTGCGAGGATGTCTGAAAACAGTCAATCAAACATTTTCGTCATCTCTTCCTCTGCTCCCATGTCCGTTGCCTCGACACGTTTATTAAGATTTGGCTAAGTTTCTCTTAAAAAGAAGAATAGAAGCTGGTAAATTATTTCACTCGGCGACAACGCGTGGTTTTACCGGGATCAAGTCTTTCGTTGGACAGTATCGTTTACTATTATGCACTTGATATTTTGGAGCAAATGGCTCGCGTGTCTCTCAAAATGTACGATTCTCGATAGGCGAAAAGGTATAAAAAGCATCTTGCGATAATGTCTATCTCGTGGATTGTATCAGCAGGCGGTAGCGTCTGGCCTAAACTCTTCCAAGGTCTCGGGTAAAGTTATTTGGAAAGCTGTGCAATCACAGGCACATGTGCGATTCATTGATAATAATGTGCGAGACCGAATCAAAGAGAACTTTAAGCAGCGGCACAAGTCTGCTGATATATAATCAGAGACATCAGCATTCGTATCAACTTATTTATGAAAACTGTGTGTTATTTCATTGCGTCAATACGCAAAAATGCGATTAACATCTAATATCGTTAGAAACGAAACACAATATAAAGAGACACGCTGTAGGACGCCTGCGAGAAACGACGTTTCAACTTTTAGGGGACGTCGAGTTGCTCATCTCTCTATAAAATTCCTCTCGATTGAGCTTCAAAGTAAAAATATAATACACACACACGCGCGCGCATAGAGTTTGCTAAAAGTGTACACGTGTTACGAATGAAGATGGCACATGTATAAGAATAACATTTGTTGTACGATAAATTTTGTTGACACGTCGATTGGCTGCGGGCTAGTAAACTCGTGGTGCATCTAAAAAGTTAGTATCCTGCAATCAAGACGCTTAAGAAATGTATCGTACGACAAATGGAGCCTAAGCGTATGCGGCGACACGAGTGACGCAGGTGAGAATAAAGGCGTACCTGAGAGTCGGAGAGGAATCTTTCGCTAGGCGGGCCAGAAAGAGAAACGTCGTAGCTGCCTGAATTCTTTCTTTTCCTCTTCTCGTGATGGGACTGGAGGTTAGGCGAGTCGCTATGCCTGACCCCGGTCTGCGTGTCCGGATCCGGTGAGGGACACTTGTCCTCCGGTTTGTTATTTACACTATTATCGGTGAGGCCTCGGATCTGCAGTGCCTCCGCTGTCTTGAGGAACATCGGTAGCAGATGCTGACTAACATTGACTTCGCCCTTATACATAAAGTGCAGCAACGCCTTCATCTCGGTGTCATTGACATCCTTGAGGAATATGATCGGATGGGGGTGGGTGTTCTGGAGGAAAATGCTCTCGAAATACGGGCTGCATGCGGAGAGTATGGTCTGGTGCGCCTTGAACGTCTCTCCGACACATGCCAGGGTGACGTCGCAGAGCGCCTCTCTGGCGAGCAGGGAGCTGAGAACGTCCGTGAGGTTGGCTGGATGATTGTTCCACCGTAGACAATACTGCTGGTCCATCTTGTCTATCTCCAATCCCGACCCTACAACCAAACTAGTTGGCCTCAGCTTGTCTAGGCAAATAAGCGTGCTCTAATAGCCCGTGCTACAATAATACCGAACGGCCGAAATCCCCTAACCCTTAAAAAGCGCCAACTCACACACTTGCTCCGCGCGCACTCTCCTATCGTCCTGACAATATCTCCCCGCAGATTAAATCGCGGCTCTCTAGGCCCACACAACGTCCTCCGCGCTTCTGCAAATGTGCCACATTGCAGTATAACTGTAAAACCCTTCAGGGTTCACGCCGCGCTACTATACGTGCAGAAAACATTTTTTCGCATAACCTTAACGGCGGAGCGTACTGTGCCGAGCGCGCGCGAGGATCCCTACGCGACGGGCGGGCGGGCGGGCGCGCGGGCCGCCCGCGAGGTTAGATCGCTAATTGCGACGCAGTACGTGCCACCCACGTACGCGATAATAATCCGACGTATTCGGAGGTGATGTTTTTGGCAACGTCAATATCCGCGAGGCTTGGGCGCCATTGTCGCGGCCGTGCGCTGCCTCGTCTAGCCTCCACGAGCCTCCTCGCGAAAACGGCGATTTGTTGATGCCCGATTTCCTAGCCACCACGTAACCCAGCGCTGCGCACCGCTCTACTCGCGCGTCAACCTTACGCGGCCTACGACGCGACACTCACCGCCGTCAACACCGCCTCTCCCCGAATCTCCACGTCGATTACTCACCTCTCGCAAACTTTTTGCCATTACAACGCCACCCGACCCTTAACGTCCACTGCCATACCAATCTGCCAATGCCTACGGCCTTATTTTTAAAATACTTTTGACCTTCGTGCATCTGCCGCGCGGGGAATGGCGCGAAGGGCGCTCCAATTCAAACGCGGTTCGGCGCACGCCGCGTCTTCTTTCCGACTGCGTGCGGGATCGCCGCGGCCGCCGGTGCACGCCGATAACGCGGCGTGTCCCGAGCGAAATATATCGCGCCGGAATATAGAGAATTCGCGCGCCGCTCGCCGCCATATCGATCTGCCGTGTGCCGGCCGTCTTATTTCCCGAATAACGCACGCTTTCGTTACGTCAGCCGACCGACATGGCGCGCCAGTGCGCACTATTCAAACGTCCCAGAGTTCACGCGCCAACCTTTTTCCACTATTTTCCTTCATTGTCGCGCTTTTCCGACAAGTCGTATAAACCAAAGTGACGCGCGCCTCGAAAGGTCCAATGTCGTCAATTCGTATCGACGAATAATGTTATAACGTTGAAAATACTCTCCATTCTTTCCTCATTTCGTTTCTAACCACAATTTTTACCACGTAATTATATCGTAGCAGTCAATCAAATATTTGTCTGTTGTGCGTCTGTCAATTTGTCAACATCAATTTTTTTAATAACGAGACAAATGTCAAGTATTAAATGACAATTGATCTTCTTTGTCGCCGATAAACAATACATGATTCGCGTTAGGCCTGGGCGACTCATTGGGACGAGTGTCATTGTTTTCTGTGAGCCCAGCGATACTTGGTGCGACCTTGATTAAAATTTAAATCGTCATTTCTCAATGTCGACGTAAGAAATAGGAGGCGACTCGAGTAACGCAAGAGTAGATAAAACGCTTGTATTCAAAGTTGATGCCTTTTCGAGTGGCGCCCTCAGATTCAGTAATTCAATTTCGTCTATTATCTCACCACGGCCCGGCGCTCCATTTAACGCACGTGTTTATTAGAAAACTGAGTTTGCAAGGTGTTAGGCGCGCATTGAAAGAAAACTGATGTATCGAAAGAACTCAACTTTACCCTTTGTAATTATTTGTAACTTTTCTCCTTCGAAAAACTTATTCCCTTGTCAAATCGTAATCTCATTAATAAAAATTAACTGTCTCAATATGTACAACACGTTAAGTTTTTCCAAAGGAAGACAAGTTAAATTAGGAGAAAAAGATCCGTTGAAGGACGTCAATACGCGTTGTTTCGGATCAGTAATTATAAGATTTAACGCCTAGCAAGTTAAATCGTGAAATTTTTTTACTATTATCTGTTATTACAATTTTGCGATTAATCTCTTTATTAAACACTCTGGAACCGATCATCGTTCGCAACATTTCGCAACGTGCCTCGTGTTACTTTATCTACTCACTTTGTACAAAGACGAATGCGTAAGCAAAATTGTTAAGGCCTATGGCCACGATGCTTGGTTTCAAGTTCTAGTTCCGAGAAATCCCTAGTAGCACAATATATTGGTGCAACATTGGGAAATAAATCTAATGTTCCCAATATTGTAAAATGGACGCTTTCTCTTATTTAGCCAATATATCTATTCAGTAATATCGGTTTAATATTGCACCAATATTAGACCAATATTCTTGTTGTATTGTTAAATATTGGCCAATGCACTTCCAATAGAAATCTAATATTATATAATTATTATCGTGCAATATTTATATTGATTCCATGGCCAATATCGGCCTATGCACTGAGCTACTAGGGTAGTAGCCAATATATTGGCGCAACATTGGCGAAAATAATGTAAATCTAGTATTGCCAATATTGGTCCAATATTGGAAGATCAACTCCTTCTTTTATTTAATCTGTATGTTTATTCAGCAATAATAGACCAATATTCTTGTTGTATTGTTAAATATTGGCCAATGCACTTCCAATAGAATCTAATATTATATAATTATTATCGTGCAATATTTATATTGATTCCATAGCCAATATTGGCTTTACGTTGGACAATATCGGCCTATGCACTGAGCTACTAGGGTAGTAGCACAATATATTGGCGCAACATTACGAAATAATATAAATCTAGTATTGTCGATATTGATCCAATATTGCAAGATGGACGCCTTCTCTTATTTAACCGATATGTCTATTTAGCACTATTGGTCTAATATTGCATTAATATTAGACCAATATTCTTGTTGCATTGTTAAGTATTGGCCAATGAACTTCCAATAGAAATCTAATATTATATAATTATTATCGTGCAATCTTTCCATTTATTCCATGGCCAATATTGGCTTTAAGTTGGACAATATCGGCCAATGCATTTCTAATATAACCAACATTGTACCAATGTTTAGCCAATACGCTGTGCTACTAGGAATGTGTGGCCCATCAACTTGCAGCTATTCCATGAAAGCTGCGAGTCGATTGGCTACACATTTCTCGGAACTGGAACTTGGACCAAGTTCTAACATCGTGGACGCAGACCTTAACGCAAAATTAACGTGTTAAAGCGGAAAAAAAGTAGCGCCGCTGACTACTACTAATACCATTATACTTTTTGTCGCGTTTATTCTCGCCGATGCACGAGGCTCGTCGCAGCCGAAGAAACGCGGATTAAAATCCCGGGACCTCCGAGAGTGCGGCACGTTTAAATACCAGCCGTCGGGGTACAAGGCGACGCGCGGGAAAGGATATTCTCACGGTTTTCATCCATTTGGAGTTGAAACGCGGGGCTTAGCAGAGCGCGAGAAAAAATCGTACGCGCGCGCGCGTTTTTCGACCCTCCGCGTCTTTCCATCCAGCGTCGTCGTAATTGCCGAGTGAGGTAGCTCGTGCCGAGCGGTGCTCGATACGATGAAGAGGAAACGCACCGCGAAATCGCGTTTTCCACGCGCGTTCCATTTCGCGGAAAATCGCCCCGCGCGCGTGTGCGCGCGGAGACGCTTCAGCTTCATTTGGCGGTAATAAACGATAATTCGCGCAAATCGCGGAGAGCTCCTGATATTAATTTGACCCTTTCCCCTGCGCCTCCTCCCCCCCCCCCCTCCCCCGCACCCGCCTGTTCCCTCTCGTCGAACGATAATCGCGTTAACCCGCGCGAAATCAATAGGCACCCGGGGAAAATTTGAAAATCTCCTCAACCGAGATTTCCAACGCGGATTTACAAGCTCCGAGCGGCTGTTAACAGATTTAATCCGCGCTTTCATCGGCACCGCTGGAAATTACGTTTCGCGTACACATCCCGCTCAAAGATAGAAACGCGATACATAAAACGCCCGTACGTCAAAACGGTGATGCGATAAACGCAATGTAAAACGCGGAGGATTCAATATTCCCGTATCCCTCTCTTCTTTTTCGCGTATAATGCGGCCCGAAAAACGCCTAATTAATCGCGTTCGCGGATGAAATTGTCGCGGCGCGCGGCGCAATATCTGTCGTTTAAATTCGATTTCGCGTTTCCGCTACATTTCGAAATGCACCGGCTCCGGCAGCCGGCCGGCCTGACCGGGACGGAATTCATTTCGCAATCACGGACATGTCCTAATTGTGCCTGGTTTCGTAATTTCCCGTTTTCCCTTAAATGAGATATTAATCGCCGGAATGTACAGAAACGCAAAAGCTGCATCCCCCGTTCGGCCCGGCCGGCTCGCAAGATACTGAATAATATCGCGTTTAAAGAGCTCCCGGGACGTCCGCGACGTGCACGTGTACATATACGCGCATGTATACGCGGCATGTACAAAACTATATGTCTGCTTCTCGGCTAACAATTTAAACTGCAACGCGTCAGCGTTACGTTGGTGGAAACGTCGTCCGTTTCCGGGAAAACTTGCAGCGATTCCTGCGAGCGCTCGATTCTAACTCGACGACGAAGAGACGAGAGGGAAATGAACGGCGACGAAACATCGTTGCGGCTGCGAAAATTAAAACGAGAGACGACATTCGAGTATCCGCGACGCGTGTCCCGCGAGACTCGCCCTCGTCGATAGATATCCCAGCAATAATTAAATCATCGTGTCCCACGTTGCGAGGGAGTTTAGAAATCGAGACACGAGGAGTGTTTGTTTTAGCGTGTGCGACTCGAGCGAATCCGACGGGCGAGTAATTACCCCGACTATGCGCCCGATTACGAGAGGCCGTTTAATTACACGTCGCACAGCTCCCGCCGCATTTATTAAACTAAGCTAAAGCCGCGGCGCTGAAGACACTCTGATAGAAAGATTTCCCTTTGGCCCGTCTTAATAACAACGTACGAACTTTCATAAGGACTGGATAATTACCTCCAGCGTGCCACGCGTTTCTTCATCAAGCGAATCCGCGAGCATCCCGCTCCTTTAACGAGCTATCCGCCGAGACAATGCGATACTCGACGACAGCGTCGTCCCGCTCGCGATTTTCTGATAAGCGACGCGATACAGCGGAAATTATCCGAGTGAAACGCCGAGCAATCCGGAGACTATCTTGATCCTCAGATTCCCAACTCGCAAATGTATACTGTTTTTGTTAAATATTAGGCTTGTTTTCTGTTCCTACACTAGTGAACTAGTGCAATAAATTGGAGTAAGACAAGCATATTTTTTCTCATTCTAGCTTACTGCACTAGTTCACCAGTGCAGGAACAGAAAACAAACCCTTTAACGCTCGCTTGTCACGCCTCTTTACGAACGAGCCTGTCACACTGGGTCGCAATTTGATCCAGGCCAATTTTCAATGAGCTACTATTTAAACACTAACAAGTAAACCTACCCAAGTGGGGACACGACGATTTTGATGAGTATTGAATACGTTGCTTTTCAGCTCAAAATAAGGGACACGTATTTTTTTATACGTGCCCATACGCACTTTTTGGTAGTAAAATACTTTTGTGAAGACAATTTCATTTTCTCTTTCGGGGCGAATATTGACGAAAGTGTAAGAGCTAGAAAACATTTTTTTAACGAAAGTCGAATAGTTTCAATAGTACTTAAAAACTATGAGCAAAAATAGTTTTTCAATTTTTTCTTTTTCAAAATACCCCAACCACTCAACATTTTTTATTACAATTTTGACAATGTTTTAGCACCAAATTACAACTTATTTTATTACGAATTCAACCGTATATAACGTATATAATAAAGTTCAAAATTGTAATAAAAAATGTTGAGTGGTGGGATATTTTAAAAAAGAAAAAGTTTTAAAAAATGTTTTTCTCATTGTTTTAAAGTACTATTGAAACCATTCAACTTTCAT